TCAAAGTAAGAAGGATCAACTCCTTACTTCTTGACTCTAGAGCAGACCCTCTAACCACTGCGTCACACGGGCTTTATTTGTTAGATTGATTGATTGTATATTGTTTAACGTCCCTTTCGAGAAATTTTTCACTCATATGGAGACTTCACCGTATGCCGGTTAATGGCTTCAAATTTAGACCTATACCCGGCACTCAGGGCCATTGAGGAGTGAGGGTTCTTTATCGTACCAGCACCTACTGTGACACGGGACCTATATACGTCGTACGTCGGAAAGACCCGCGACTTTTACTTTTAGTGCCGAGCGCTTGGCGAAGGAACAGACACTTCCTATGTTTACGTGTTAGGTATGATGCGGCGCTGCGAACGAGAATCGAACCCGGGCCTCCCAATCACGAAGCGAACGGTTTTCCACAAGGCTACTGTGACCGGTTTATTTGTTAAGAGACAACCAAAAAAAAATTAAAAATTATATGTCAAATAACAGCGAAAAAATCTTGAATATAAATCTACACAGTACTCTTTAATAGGATATAGTTATAACTTTGATATTTAAAAATTAAAATTCTAATAGAGGTCTCCTCGACAAAGAAGAGGTTAACAAAGTACTGAAAGTACTGGAGAGCAGTGACGCAATGATGAAAGAAAACTATGAGGTACTTTACTAAAAGAAAAAATGTATTCCTTAACCAGATGATTGATTTTAAAACATTGGAACGCAATTCAATGAGAAATGCAAATATTAAATAAATATTATACAGTTTGAAGAAGTAAACAAGGAAAAAAAGACGCAGAGAATAATATGGTCGCACCCTGGCACAGACGTCACAGGAATGGTGGCTCGCAGCGAAAAAGTGGCAGGAACATGCGAACAGGTACAAACGACATTTTAAAAAGAAGACCTTTCTTTTATTGTTCTTGTGTAAAAGTCAGTTGTCGATTGTTAAAGTTAGCGCCTCTTACAAACGTCCTCTTTGCACAAATTAAAGCTTTCTGTCGATAATGTGTTCAGTTGCTTTAATCAAAGTTCATTTGAATGATAACCGAGTGATCATTCCTCTATGTCTGTCATGTCAAACAGGACAATAAAAAGAATCCGTATCTAAAGATGTAATTAAAAAGCAAAGAAATATATGAAGATTTTCACATAAAGTTCTTTGTTTTAGCTTTTAGGGGGAGAGGTGTATCATTACCACGGGAAGATGATACTAAAAGGGGCGCAGAAGGGAGCTCGACATCTGTGGCACCAAGATTATGGGTAAATATATAATCTTACCAGAACGTGTGGCACCAAGGTTGCAGGTAAACGTCAAACATTATGGTTTACGTGGCGTCAAGATTACGGGTAATAATACGCAGTATTGTCATTGTAGGATTATAGTAAGTACGGTCATAAAATCTTTTAGTCAATTAAGGATGTCCCAATATACTGGGAGATTTAACCAAGTTACGAAAACAAAGATAACAGAAAGATACAAATCGTAACCAAATATAAAGGGGCACGTAATTTGCACGTTCGCTTGTAAATTACGCAAAAATAAGATTGAAAATCTTGCACAATTGTTAAGTCGCACGAAAATGAGATCATCAAAAGTTATCTCCCTTGCCTTGAACAGCATTTCAACCAATGAAATAATTGATAATTTTCTCATCATGCAATTTCTACCAATCACAAAATAGAGGAAGTGCAAAGCCCGAAGACTTTTTTCTCGTTTATATGTTCATTGTTTCTCGAATATGTAAATTACTGTGTTCAGCAATCGAATGTACTTTAGAAATCTGAAGTTGAAGTACTCTGAAGTTGGCATAAAAAAAGATGCTTGAGTTTCTGATTGACAATATCTATGTGGTTTTTAAAGACCAGGTCCTCTAATAATCTATTTGAATTCCCATGCTTACCAATTGCGTACCGGTATTTGGAGACATTTTTGTATTCATATGAAGAGGAATTTTTCCGAAATTTTATGCGTGCAGAGAAAAAAAGGCACATGCTGTAGCCCTCAACTCGACATTTATCAACGACGCATTGTCAATTAACATTGGTAATTTCCATTCCTATGTCGATACGATATATCCTGTTCAGCTTGGGGTAAAAGATACCACAGAGTCTGACACATCTGTTTCATATTTGAATATTTTACTTGAAAAGACGTTAATGGTTATCTAACAACCAAGCTCTATGAAAAACACGACATCATGACTTTAACTTTACCTTACTTATGCAGCAATATACAATTACCTTCAACAACTGCATACGGAGTTAATATTTCTCGGTTGATTCGATACGCAAGAGCATGTTCTACGTATCAACAATTTCTAAACCGAGATAAATTATTGCTTGACAAACAAGTTTGTGAAACAAGAATATAAGCCGTCTCGTTTAAAATCATCATTTCGCAATTTCTTTGTCGAAAAACAAGTTTGTGAAACAAGAATGTAAGCCGTTTCGTTTAAAATCATCATTTCGTAAGTTCTTTGGTCGATACAATGACCCTGTCAGCAAAAACAATTAATCATTGAGTCAAATGCTGCTTGACATTTTTATGCTATTTGTCAGTCCATTATTTACACACTAAATTGACGACAGATTTCCCCCTTATTTTCGGCGTGTGTGACCGATAGGCAGGGGATGCCTTCTCCTCCATGGTACCTGAATACTCTGATGGTTTGGAGGTCCGTGTTTGCTTTGCTTCTTTTTTGTATTGTTTATTGGACTTGAAAACAGTTTGTTAACTCCATTTATTTCATTTAGATATTGGTATAACAACGGGTGCCTCTTTCCTGATATGATGACCGTTTTCATTCCATTGGATCCTTGCAGGAAAGAAAATGGCTGCTTACAGGTATTCAGAATTATAAAAAAATCTTGGTACCTTTCAAACTAATCGCAAAAAATGATTAATATGGATTTCAAAACGATGTACAGGTAATAATACCTGCATTGCTGCTGTAAAAGATATAACATGCGTGAAACAAACGTAATTTTGTTTTTTAAGATACTGGAAGGTTCTCACAAATGTGGCAGGATTGACCATCATCCTGTTTTGAAGCAAGCAGAGGCGGATCTCACACGGGTGGAAGAAATCAAGAAGACGTGTCCTCACAAGTTTGTGGAAATGGATCCAGGTAAATAATAATGTTCCAAATCATAGTGAAATGTCATATTTTACAGATATTATTTTTACTGTTACATGAGGATACGGCTACTGGATTTTATTTCTAAATTAAAGTAGTTTCATTAAACATAAATTCCTTAGTAGACGGAATTGTTATTCTAGTTTAATAATTAATGTTTGCAAAATGGTATGGTCAGCAACGTTGAGTACAAAAATATTCGTTACACTTAAGTAACTTTTTCTCCAGGAAACAAATAATTGCAAATGCTAGTACTTAAAATTCAGATCTCAAAGAAAAGAAAGAAGAGAAAGTTTATTTACTAGTTATACTCAAGTGTGAGCATAAACAGAACACTGCTTTCATACGACATCTGATTTCAACAGAATTTATTTAGAAATGTTTGATCATAAGCTGCTACATCAGGACTGTTAATTAACACAAGAAAATTGTTTTGGTTATTTCACTTTTATTTAAGTTTTGTCACATCAATGTCAAGAAACTCTTTCTAAATTTAGAAAATAACTTGTTTCAAAATAATCTATATCACAGGCGATGCTCTGTTTTTCCATTGCAATGTGCTACACCACAGTTCTGATAATAACAGTGACATGCGCAGATGGGTGTACATCTGTACTTATAACAAAGCCAGCAATGACCCAATCATTGAGCATCATCACCCAAGATACACACCACTTAACAAGGTCGGTATATAATATATATATTAAGAATCCTTATAAATCGTGTCAGAAAATCATATTTATTAATGAAAGAGTACTTCATTTCATTATATTCAAAGTCTTCACTACCCAGCATATATGTATATATAATTTTTTTTTCAATCGTTTTTGCAAATATGTTGAGGTTTATATTATTTATTGTAAAAATCTTCTTTTTTTTTTGCAAATATAAATTGATTGGTGGTAACTGATAAAACATGAATAGGAAATATATATTACATATCATATTATTTCATCTAGCGAAAAATACTTCGTCAAGCGAAAAAAATCGTGACAAATGAGATTACTTAAACCTTTTCAATTGTCAACTTCCCTTACTTATGCAGCAATATACCTTCATCACCTGCATATGGGAATTGTTTCTCTTAGTTGATTCGTTACGGAAAGCATGCTTTACGGATGCACACTTTTTAAAAAAGGAAAGTTAATGACAAACAAGTTGCTGAAACAGAAATACCAGCATTCTCGTTTAAAGTCAGGTATGGTCTATGGTCGATACAAAGCCTGGAAAGCAAATTCAAGTAATAATTTAGTTAAATGCTGACTGACGATTTTCATTCTAATTGTAAGACCATTAAATACACACCCAATTGTCCTCGGATTTGTCCGTTATTTCCCGATCATGACAAGGAGCACACGGCGGGTTTGACAGGTCGGCATGGGATGCTCACTCCTCCATGGCACCTGATCCCACCTCTTATGTTTTAAAAGTTTGTGTTTGCTTTTCTTCTATTTTTTTGTTGTTTAATGAACTTTTGAGCTTGAATATTGCTCGTTCTGTCCATATATTTCATTTTAAAGAAGAGCGTAAGGATTTTATATGGAGTAAATGTGGGTGAGGATTATGACAGTTTGCGGATATGTTCTTTACTAAATGACATTGTCGTACAGGTTCCTAACTCTGCAATCAAAGAATGTACCAACTTCACGGACATGAGTGGAAAGGACTTCATTCACCCTGACCGTAATACGTCACTGACGGAACATATTCGAGTTGTTCATTAATGGACTGACAGGAAAAAAATGTGATAACAAAAACTTTTGAGAGTATACACAAAGTTTTACTCAAGATATTTTATAAAAAGGAAAACAATGAAAATCTTGTTTTAATAGTTAATATGGTGGCGAAGAAATTTGCACGTATTGATTCATAATTAACGAAAATACCCGTGAAAAACTCTCTCTCTCTCTCTCTCTCTCTCTCTCTCTCTCTCTCTCTCTCTCTCTCTCTCTCTCTCTTGACCATACTCTCTCTCTGGGTATATGTGTGATGTGTTAATTGTATATTTTGAGACATTTTTTTTCCTGCAATTTATTAGATATGACTGGTACATAAAAAACCACTCATGTTTACCCATGCTATAGTAATGATTGTGATTGTTAAATTATTTACTAATAAAAATTAAAAATGGAATTTCAACAATGTTTACTGAGTTGACTTAAGTAAATTCCATATCAAACAACCAATCAGGATTTGGAATACAGAGTCGATGATTGGGGCTGTAAGCCCTGATTACATTGGTTAGAGGTACAGCAGAAGTGACACGTGTATAATCTCTGCTGACTGGCACATGACCATACTTAGTACAGTGGTCATGGTCGGAGATCTGAGATAACCACTGGTTCTGGTATACAGTCTCGTTCACGCACCTGCTCCAAAGGAAAGAAATCCACAAACGGATGATCATTATATCTTCTAACATATATCATGACAAGGGAAACACAGCGGGTGTGACCTGTCAGCAGGGGATGCTTAATCCTCCTAGGCATCTGATCCCACAATTGAGTTTTAGACATCTCTTTTTTTTGATAACTTTTGATTATATTCAGTTTTTTTTTATAAATTGATGTTTCATATATTTTATATTTGTCTCACCATAGACATATTGATCGTTTTGTTCTTTCGGTCTTATTAGAAATCTTTATTTTTACAATAGTTATGATCTAAATAAACATTCAATCAACTGTATATTTTCCCACCCTCAATAAGGCCTGTAAATTATGTATTGAACTAAACTACTTTCTTAAGTGTTAATAAACATATCTTTATAATTAAAACGGACAACATACAAACATAATTTTGTCACCTTTTGAAGACCTTTGTGTTGGAATGGCTATGCACTTTGTCCGTCATACAGTAATTGTTGTTGCCTGAACAGGAGCCGGTGGGCCCAATGTAAATACTACGTGTATCACAAGGAATATCTTTATTATAGTCCCCACACACCTGACAGTGAATAGTAGCTGTAAAACAATACTTAAGAGTAAATATCAGTTCTAAAGGAATTGTAACTGCTATATGATAAACAACTTACCAATTAAAACAGAGTATCATTGCATGAAATAAACAAATTACCTTTGACCGTAAATGTTTTATTTTTCAAAACATCATTACATCTATTCCATAACTTATAAATAACACTTTTTAATTATTTCCACGTCACTCACGTCGAGGTGTAGTTGTCACAGGTGGCTTATATTCTTCTATGGAATAAAATAATTAAATCACTGGATAGAAAGAATCATTACTTCTAAATGTACTGCATAATTCATACTTGAAAAGTGAATCTCGAAATAAAAATAATCGAAATCATTGTATCATAATGAAGCAGTGGCATAGATATATTCAAGTACTATTTCTAAGGGAAATACCTGTACCGAGGTTACAAGTTGATCTACACTGCAGGAAGGCGATATCGTACATATCTCTTTGTCCTGGAATCGCATGGCACACACCGTACCCTTTTAAAGTGTCAAAATTTGTTAAACTATCGGAGCAGTTACTTGGAGAATCTAAAACAGAGTAACAGTCTGTTTTATTTTTATTATTATTATTTTTTTTTGGATTGCACTGATTTCAAAAATAAAGATTTAAAAATTATCAAATAAAAATCAAGATTGTTTTCTCTATCTTTTGTTTGCCTTGTACTGAAAACGGTTGCACGGAGGAATTACTTTTACGAGGAGTGACTCCTGTCGACTTATGCCACTTAAAATCCTGCAAACAAAATGCTATGAAGATTACCATTTGAAGATGAAACAATTGTCGCAGAAGAAACAAATCCTGTTGTTCCTCTGAGGGTCAGAGGAGTTATAGTTTCTGAAGTATTTTGTCTGAAGGACGAGGGAGAATATGCACTGGTTGAGGAAGGTATTGTTGTGGTGGTTGTAGTGTAGGAAGGTGAGTTGATACATTGAATATTGTAGGCGTGGCTACACTAGTATGCTTAAATGTGATTGGGTTAGAAGTGTTGACCTTAGTATGATCTGGGAATCATGTCGTCGTTGGCAACGTGGTTGAGGATCGAAAGGTTTGAAAATACTGTTTATATGCCCAAACTGTAACAATGTTTTATTTTAAAAATATGAATCATATGACATTAAATTTAGGTGTAATAAACCTACAAGATAAAAAAACATGGTTTACGACTAAACAAATATATATGTATACCCTTAAAATAATGGTTGATAAACCTTTCATCATTTTCTTTTTCTTTTCTGTGTGATAAGAGATGATGTTAGACAGCAGAACCATTTCACATTAACCCGATCTTTTTTAAAAAAAAAAATTATTTGCTCTTTCTTCATGATATAAAACATGCAACAAATGAAACAAGACAAAGTGAAATCAGTCTACATCCTACGAGATAATGTTTCGCAAATCATAAATCACTTTCCATGGATTTTTTTAAAATTCTCACCACGGCCAATGTTGCTTTGTCTCATTTCTTCATTTGTTAAAATTTATAAAAAAGGAGTTTCATTTAAATATTTCATTCTAAGGAATTTAATGCGACACAATATATAATTCATAGGGTTAATCTAATCTTCTTTATCTTTGCAGACTTAGGTTTTTTGTCAGATAAGCTCTACACCCACGCCAGATACACATAAAACTGCCTTAGTTTCATTATTTGTATATCTTTTAAACGGCCATATTAATAACATATGAAAAAGAAAAGTTATATCGGTACTTACTGATATACTGTACAGTTCTACAACATATTAAGTCTGCTCCATTTGCACGATTATCCTAGAAGAGCAAAATCTTCCATCAGGTTTTATTTTCATGCATATTACTTGAACAGTATTCAAGCTCAAAAGTTCATAAAACAACACAAAATTGGAGTAGAGCAAACATAAACCTCCAAAACATCAGAGGTGGAATTAAGTGCCATATGCATGGAAGAGAGAGCACCCCTGCTGACCGGTAACATCCGCCGTCTGCTCCTTGTCATGATCGAAAAATAACGGACAAATCCTTTTTCAATTCAGTATGTATATAGTGGACTAGCAATAAGTATGGAGAGCGTCAGTAAGCATTTGATTCATTGACAAATTGTATTTGCTGACAAGGTAGCAACCATATATAGAACTTAAAAATTGATGACTTTAAATAAAAGTGTTGATATTAATTCTTGTTTCATGAACATGTTTGTCAATATTTTACCTTGTTTTAGAAATTGTACCTACCTAGAGCATTCTCTTGCGTATCGAATGTGAAATTTAATTTTGAAAACCCCATAATGGTTATTTCAATTTTCATGTTCATACGATATATCCCGGTGAGCTTGAAATAAAAGATACCACGGAGTTGGGCACAGTTGTTTCATATTTGGCTATATTGCTGGGAAAAGATATTAATGATAATCTAACAACCACGTACTATGATAAACAACACGACTCTAACTTATCAATCTTCAACTTCCCTCTCTTATACACAATATTTATATACCTTCATCACATGCACTTACGGGGTTTATATCTTTTAGTTAATCTGATACAGCATACTCTTAAGGAGGAATGCCACTCCAACTTTTTATTTTATAGATCTCTGAGTCAACCATTTTAAACAATGGTTTCACCATTGAAAGGTCGACATTAGCTTTTAATTATTTTATATGAATTTTTTCGTATTTTTTCAAAGAAAATTAAAAAAAAATATTAACATCCAAATTAGATGCTTTCTTGTAAAAATTTTGCTGTAAATTAATGCATCACATGAATACCCAATAAAATATGTAAAGAAAAGCTGTATAGTTCTTTAAAAATTTGAAATAAAAAATTATTTTTGAAAATTAAACACATAATTTGTGAATATTTTTTAAACTTGTGATTAAAAATTTCTTAAAACCAGTCACAACTGTGGTGAACATGTTCGTTAATCATATTTATAAAAGAAATTGAAACGAAATAGCCAAATTTTAGAGAAATTATCTTTTTGATTTTGGCCAATCCCGATCAAAATTAAACCGATCCCAACCATAATTGTAAAATTATTGGAAATAAATAACATTTCCCCATGAACACAAGTCCGATTAGGTGTAATAAGGGTTAAAACATTATTGAACCTGACAATAAAGTAGATTTCTTTATTGTAAATACACGAAGAGGCAATAAATTAGCATTTTATTCATTTTGTGTTAATTTTGATCGGGTTAGGTTCAAATATTAAAAAAATTAATTTCTAAAAATTTCTCAATTTTGTTTCAATTTCTTTTTAAGATATGATTGACAAACATGTTGTCCTCGGTTGTGACTAGTTTTATGGTGTTTTTAACCATAGGTTTAAAAATGAAGTGTTTTATTTTCATAAATTATTTTTTATAAAAAGAAAATTAAAAAGTCTAACCAGCCTTTCTCTATATATTTTATTAGATATTCATATGATGCATTCATTAACAGAAAAGTTTTAACTCGAGAACGACTTATTGAAATTTAATAGAATTAAATTATTGTTTATAAACATGTATTTTCTATCCCACTTGTTCCTGTGTAACTATTGTTACTATTAAGTCTGTTATATAACAAGAAAATTTACATAATTCTGTTGTGGGGTAGCATTTCTAATTATAGAATTTTTGGTCAGATAGGGGAGATGATATTGACCAGTTAGAATAGAGTAACCAGGGGCATTGATGCCTAGAGGGGGAGTCTGTATTGTTCCATTCGCATCTAGACGCTCTGTGTTTCAGCTATTATTTTCGTTCGTTTTTCCTTATATTCTACCGATTTACGCTATGCAATACATACCTCTGTATTGTTACATGGTCATTTAAATAGCTTGTGGATCTGTTTTGAACTCAATTTTATTTTATATCAGGATATATACAAGATATTGTGATTCTATCTTGATTCTGTGACTGGGCCGTGTGACGCCATGGGACCAAAGCGTACAAGAACTGTGCCCTACAGTTATAATCCTGATTTACCGGAAAATTGGACTTCCGCACAATTGAAGGACTCTTTAAAATCTCGCGGGATCGCTTTCCCAGCCAATGCGCGCAGATCAGTGCTGATTCGTTTACATACAGACAGTGTAGCAAGTGCGCGATCCCATAATGCAACGGGTCAGCTCAACAGTGATGCTCCGCAATCCCACAATGCACTGGACCAAAACAGCAATGGCGGCGACCGTCAAAACAACACGCTGGTGGACATAGTTTCAAAGTTAACATCAACAGTACAGTCCTTACAACAAAATGTCATAAATCTGACATCGAAGGTCAATTCTATGACACAAGGAGCTGGTCTGCAGACGAGTGCCAATGCCATTAGTAATGCTCAGAGCCAAATTAGCCGCCCACTTAGCCAAGAAAGAACGTCCGCGACTACTAGTTCCTCGGCCCCAGAGAACAGTTTTACGTTGGACACAGCTTTTGCCCGCATTTCGGCAGCGGCGGCCGGCTCAGCGGAACAAATGACGGAACCTCGGAGAACCCGCTATGGATTTGCTGCAGAGTCCCTACCTCTGGTGGAAACGATTTCGCCGCAACTTCGTCAACAAATCACAGCAGGTAAGGACGTCAATCTGGCGTCACTGTTGATTCCATATTACTTACCTCCAGATGAAAAAGATGAGAATAAAAAGCCTGATAAAAGACTCTTACGTACTCTTACTATTGGGGAATTTATCCAGGCTTTTGGGATTTATAAAAACATTATGGGCCAAGCATACCACCAGAGAAGACAAGAATTAGATCTATACGAACGTGATATCATAGACATGGCTACCAGATATCCAGGAAAGGGGTTCTACGAGTACCATCGGCAATTCAGCCTCATGGCCGCATCACACCTAAAATACAATAACATTTTAGTGGACTGGTCGGTACGAAACAACACGCTTTTCTGCAACCTTTTTGCCAACAGTAAAGCTCAAACCTGTACCACATGCAATAGCACACTGCATTTATCTGGATTTTGTCCATTAAATGGTCCCACTGGAGATAAACGACATGGAGACATGGACTCTTATGGAAGGAAAAGGCAATTCCATGACGGAAGAGAAATTTGCAATAACTTTAATGGGGTCAGGGGTTGTCAATTACCCAGATGCCGTAACGCACACCTATGCATTGAATGTAAAGGTGAACATTCAAAACAGAACTGTTCTTACTCAAAAAACTCGAATGCGCCCCACATGGCTGGGGCTCACAATCCACAGAAGATGTAGGAGAAAGCTACAGTGACAAAATTTCAACACCAGTGAACATCGACATGTTACAAACTCTTTTGGTGGACCACCCTGATCAACAATATACAGCATATCTACTCAATGGACTTAGACTTGGTTTTCATACTGGTTTTCAGCATCTTCCCAAGAATTCACATGAATGTAAGAATTTAAGATCAGCATCACTAAATTCAGACAGTGTTACAGAACTTATTCAAAAAGAACTTTCCTTGGGTTATTTATATGGGCCATTTGATGAAATTCCCTTTGAACACTATCGAATTAACCCTATTGGCATAGCAGAGAGCAAATACTCGAAGAAAAAACGTCTCATTGTGGATATGTCAGCACCACACAATGATGAAGACAATCCCAGCCTAAATGAGCTCATCGACAAGTCTGAATTTTCTCTTAGTTATGTAACTATGGATGATGCTATACAGCTTATCAAATCCCATGGAGAAGGAGCATTGCTCATTAAAACGGACATCACTGATGCATTCAAGATTATGCCTATCGCATACCATTTATGGCCCTACCATGGAATTCAATGGAACAAACAGTATTACTTTTTTAAACGTTTAGTATTTGGCAGCAGATCTAGTCCAAAAATTTTTGATTCCCTTTCGTCAGCTGTGTGTTGGATTGCTGAACATGGATACAACATACCAAATGTTCTGCATCTCTTGGATGACTTCTTGGTGGTGGTACCTCCACACTGTGACGCCCATAGAATTATGGACAAATTTCTCGGGATCTTTACAACACTTGGAATCCCACTTTCAGAGAAGAAAACCGAAGGACCAAGCACAGAATTGGAATATCTAGGAATATATCTGGATTCAATTAAAATGGAGGCACGTTTACCCCAAGAAAAAATAAAGAGGATATTAGATATTGTCAATTCATTTAAGCTACGTAAATCGTGTACAAAAAGAGAATTGCTGAGTTTGTTAGGACATCTTAACTTTGCATGCAGAGTTGTCCTGCCTGACCGATCCTTCGTCTCGCATCTTATAGCCTTGTCCACTACTGTTGAGCAGCTGCATTATCATTTGAGATTGGACAGTATGTGTAGAGCAGATCTCGCCATGTGGTCAGACTTCTTACAATCTTGGAATGGAGTGTCTTTTTTCATCGATGACAATGTTACAGAAGCTGCAGATATGCAGTTATTCACAGATGCTACCCCTACAGCCTTTGGAGGGTTCTATCAAAACAAATGGTTTCAAGGAGAATTTCCTGCTGACCTTTCTCAAGAGACAACATCTATGGCATTTTTTGAGCTCTATCCAATTGTTATGGCTTGTCTTCTATGGGGTCATGCCTGGCCCAGGAAACGCATTCTTTTTCACTGTGATAATCAAGCAACAGTTGATATTATAAAGAAAGGAAGATCGAAAGTCAAAAGCATCATGAAATTAATGAGAACCTTAACCTTTCATGCAGCATGCAATCATTATGTTATTCACGCTGTACATATTCCTGGTGTTAAGAATACTATTGCAGACTCTCTTTCTCGTTATCAGATGAAGAAATTCCGGTCCCTTGCACCAGAAGCCGATCCGAATCCAACGCCTTGCCTTCATCATTTCGAGTTGCTAAAGAACTAAAAGATCAGCTCCAGTATCTGTGGGACTCATCCTTGTGCAGTTCAACCAAGCGAACGTATAGCTTTACAGTGTTTTCTGTCCTTCGTATGCATGAGTGGAATCGTGTTCCACTCTACTTGTCTACCTTCAGTAAATGAGAGCTTGTTAATGTACTTTGTCACTCATTGTAAATCTGCTTTAAAACTAAAATATGACACAATTAAGTTGTATTTAGCAGGTATTAGGTAATATTATATAAGAGCAGGTTATGGTGATATTTTGAATGGGTGTGATCAGCTTCATTATGTATTGCGTGGTGTTAAAAGATCTCAGAACAATGTTATTAACAATAAACGCCTACCAATAACACCTAATATTTTGAAGCAATTGTGGCAGGTATTAGAAATGGGTTTTTTTTCTCCCTTTGTAGATCTCATGTTAAAATGTGTTTTCCCGTGCATATTTTGTGTTTCTTAGATGTGGAGAAATTACCTGTCAGAAGGCTAATTCTGAACATTTTTTACAAATTATTGATGTCAGTTTTGGAATTGATTTTTATGTATTAAAGTTGAGATCTTCTAAAACGGATCCATTTTCTAGAGGTGTAAATATTACTATTTATGAAAATGATGTTTTTAAGCCTGTACATACTATGCGTCTATATCTGCAGACTAGGAAAGCCTTATCATGTAATCCTCAGTCACCTTTGTTTATTGATGATGAATTTAACCATTTACCTATGCTTAGAGATACTTTTATACAACAGCTGAGATCTTTACTTATGCGAATTGGCCTGAATGATACTAACTACGCAGGACACTCCTTCAGAATAGGTGCCGCAACAGCTGCTGCTGCAGCAGGGGTTGAAGACCACGTTATAAAAGACTTAGGAAGATGGTCTTCAGACTGTTATGTGAGATATATTAGAACTGATTCTGAGGTTATTAAAAGAGCTCAAAGAAGACTGTGCCATTTCGAATCTGGAAAACAGTGTTAAGCTTAACATTCCTACATTTTGTATGCAATCTCTGAAACTGTCTGCCATTTTAAAACCTGAAATGTAATATTAAGTTTAACAAAATCCTACATTTTTGTACGCAATCTCTGAAATTATACTGTATACATATCCTTGGGGGCTTCACTCATTCTTCGTTCATTTGGCGTCTATTCCTGGGGAATTTTACCCCCAAGTCTATGTTTGTTTTTTGTTCATTAGTATGATATATATTACACCTTTTTTCACGCATTTTTTATTGATATACATAGGTAGTTGTTGAATTTTTATAGATTTAGACTAGTATTTAGTTTCCACTGGCCTGCTGGGATCAGCCCCGGGCATGGTTTTCTCGCTCTCAGATGCCTGCTGGGATCAGCCCCGGGCATGGTTTTCTCGGTCTTAGATGCCTGCTGGGATCAGCCCCGGGCATGGTTTTCTCGCTCTCAGATGCCTGCTGGGATCAGCCCCGGGCATGGTTTTCTCGCTCTCAGATGCCTGCTGGGATCAGCCCCGGGCATGGTTTTCTCGCTCTCAGATGCCTGCTGGGATCAGCCCCGGGCATGGTTTGATGTTTCTTTGATGCCTGCTGGGATCAGCCCAGGGCATGGTTGGGATACTTACACTCCTGGGATCAGCCCGGAGCGCCATCATTGTGTGTTAGCCTCAGGCAGGTTTTCACCTTACTATTTCAGACAAGTCAATATTAGATTCAATTTAGATTTTATTTTCACTAGTGTTAAGAGTTGTTAAAGAAGGAATGCGTAGCCCCCAAGACGCCAAATTGTTAAATATTGTAATGTCGGTGAATGTTTAGAATGTTATATTACAGCTTTGTAGTTATATGTAGTGTATTGATGTTTGAGGTCGTAAAGACCCAATAAATTCTAAACTGTACTTTCTGGTTAATTGTTTATAAATTTGGATATAAATAATTTTTTTCATTTTCTTTGAAAAAATACAAAAGAATTCATATAAAATAATTAAGAGCTAATATCGGTCTTTCAATGTTCAAACCATTGTTCAAAAAGGATGACTCAAAGATCTATAAAATAAAAAGTTGCTGTGGCATTCCACCTTAAGAGTGAGAACGACGCAAGTTAATGACAAATTTAAAACATGTTTATGTTCCTCTGTTATTATGCAAGACCAAAGCCAAGTCAACTGAGCTAGTTTTTTGATGGATTAAAATTAAAATAACAACAGTAGTGAAAGTGAAAAAATGTCATTTATTGAAGTAAATGACACAAAACAAAATATAAACATATTATAAGGGTGTAAGACAAGACTAGAAAAAACTTCGAAAGAATACAAAAATCTTTGGTAACATATTATGCAATCTGACCCCTTAAAATTACATATATCATAAAGCAGGCACTGATATGCCTGTCATCAAAAAGAATATCAGCATTCTTGTTCAATGTCATAATTTCGGATACAATGTCCTAGACAGCATATACTATTTATTATTGAGTCAAATGCCTACCAATGATTTCCATACTAGTTGTAAGTCCATTATATACACGTTGAATTGAAGACCGATTTGTCCGTTATTTTTCGATCATGACAAGGAGCACACGGCGATTGTGACCGGTTAGCAGGGGGATGCTCATTCCTCCACAGCACGTGATTTCGCCCCTGATGTTTTGAAAGTCCGTGTTTGCTCTTCTCCTACTTTGTATTGTTTAATGAACTTTTGAGCTTGAAAACTGTTCGTTCTCTCAATATAATTAATCTAGCTTACAAACATTATTAATTTAGTCTTCAAACTTCAACTCAACATTTTCATTTATAAAACCGTTTTAAATTAATCATAAATGAGAGACTATGAGCATAAGCGATGAATATGTTCCAAGTTATTCATTACCGCAATGTCACAGTGAGTCATTGGCATTATCGATACATTCTTTGATTCGAATGATATTTTGCACGCCATAAATTTGATGTTGTTTTTGAAGTCACACTGCCCATTCCTACAGATTGGGTATTCCACCATATCCAATTCTCTGGTTGTCTGTACCGAGGTTGTACTACTTCCTTTAGTTTGTAGTGTAGGAACCTTAATGAATTTATAATAAATGAGAGACTATGAGCATTATGAAGTTGTTATGAATATGTTCCAAGTTGTTCATTACCGTAATGTCACAGTGAGTCATTGGCATTATCGATGCATTAGTTGAATCATATGATATTTTGCACACAACACATTTGGTATTGTTTTGGAAGTCACACTGCCCGTTCCAACACATTGGACATTCCACCATATTCAGTTCTCTGGTTGTCTGTACTGCCGTTGTACTAGTTCCTGTAGTTGATAGTGTGGGAACTTGATGTGACAAAGGCAGAGTTGTTGAAATCATCCAATAAATAGATCCAAAGGCCTGCTCTATTCATAGTTATTTTTGTTTTTATGGAAGATTTCACATTTAACAGTATTTTTATCTCAACATTTTAGATATATATTCAATCAATTGAAAGGAATAATATACGTAGAACACAATATATTTGAAATTCTTTTCTTTTATTGAGACAAACTATTTTCACGATTTTGATTATTGTTGTAAAGCAATGTGATAAAAAAAAAAATTAAGGTAAAATATGACAGTAGTCTTTGTCAAATAATAACCGAAAATATAATTATTGCAAAAAATCGAGTTCATCACGAACCTATACATTTGAAATCTCGGCAACATAAATGATGAACATCATCGGGGTGACAGTGGTGTCCCTTTGATAGAAAAATGTTTTGTTAGTTTGATATTTTATTCATTATTGATAATGAAATGTAAAATTGTAGTATGGTCAATTATCATTAAACAAATAATTATCGTCTTAATAACACGGGAACAAACAGACTTAATAAGAACCTCCACATATTACATTGTAGATATATACC